GTTGTGTGATTCTTATTCTATTCTAATCATAGAGATACCCTGCCCCTAACCAAATATTCCTTAACCTAAATGATTAGCAAACCCTCCTGAAGGATGATGGATAAGAGTGGGATTGTAGATAAAGGGAGCATGCTGCCTTTTGGTTTTATGTGGGTTCTTAAGATACATGTCTCTATTTCTATCCCATAAGGAAATCTGGAAATATCCTAGTTCAGCCTTGCCTATGGGGGAAATCTATGGAGAAATGAAAGCTGGTGATTTAGGGAAAGGAACAGTAGGAGTAAGTGGGCATTTCTGATGCCCACTTACTCGTACTTTTAGAAATTCTTTTACTCATTATGTTTGAAAGCAGTGAAAAGGACAGGAGGACCCTTAAAGAACCTCTTATCCGGCAACATTTATATTTTTAAAACATGGCTTAGAGGATTTTGTATTGTGTTCAGCCCAGGCGTTTGCTTTTAATGATTTGCCAAGAAGGTTTTTTAAAAGCAAAGGGAAGGAACAGTTCCAAGTTGCTCTATAGACCATATTGTACAAAGACTTCTAATTTTAAATTTACAATAAGAAGACAACAAAGTTTTCTCCTTGGATGCTTTCTGTGAAGGCAGTCAGGTGTTAGAGTAGCTATAATGCCTTTTTCTTTTCTTTTTTTTCAGTTTTTGCTATGATTATTACCATTCTTTCCTATTACCCTCTCCATTTGTTTCCTTCCTCTTGCTTTTCTCTTCTGTATGTTTACTTTTTCCCATCTTATTTTTTTATTGTTCCCCCTCACGAGTTCTTTTTCAAATTCTTTTACTTAAAATTTTTTTTAACATTTTATGAAATGTTTATTTTTATTTTAAAATATTTCATAAATAGGTACTCCAGAAAAGTACACAAAACATGAAGTATTTTGTGTACTTTTTTTTTTCAGTTATGTATGTACACAAAAAATAAAGTACAGCCCTGGTCAATGTGGCTCAGTGGTTAGAGCGTTGACCTGTGCACTGAAGGGTCACAGGTTTGATTCCTGGTCAAGGGCACGAACCTGGGTTGCAGTTCAATCCTGGCCCCAGTTGGGAGGTACTGAGGGAGATAATCAATCGATGTGTCTCTCTCACATCAATCTCTCTCGCTCTTTCTTCTCTCTTCCATCCCCCACCCCTTTGCACTTACTGTCTCAGAACAAGAATGGAAAGAAGGCCCAGAAACTAGGGTGGAGAGGTGGTGATGTCAAGGTGATGACCCTCAGAAAGCTGGAAAGTGAACAGTGTCAGGTTGTTGCCATGCCTGTAAATAACAGCAATAGGGAGATTGTTGATGTCTAATATAGCTGTCTTTAGTGTCCTGGTGCATGATACAGTTTTGGCCTTGGTGGCCACTTGAACATATTCAGTATAATGCCACAAGTTTTTATTGAACATTTACTGTTTAAAACATTTCCAGATGCAACAGAAAATACAAATATATTACTTTCCTTTAAAAGGTTTGGGGAATTTTAAGTAGTTCCATTAGATATAAGAGAAATGACAGAAGAACGTGGTAGTTTGAAGCTATATGATAAGGGACTAGAATGTCCCAGGCTAAAGAAATTTGGACCTGGGTACTATTGGGATGCTGTTGAAAATGTTTAAGTGAGGTAATAACATGATGATAGCTATACTTTACAAAGATAAATCTGACAAATTTAAATGAAAAAGAGATTGAAGATCTAGAAATTAGTTAAGAGGTTGATGACACAGTTCAGAGTCAGAAGAACTTGAAAAATGATGGTAGCAGTGAGAAAGGCAAGGCAAGAAGGTAATAGAAATTTAAAAAGAGAAGACATGCCAAAACTTGGAGTCAACCAAGATGTCCTTCAGTAGGTGAATGGATATATTGTAGTACATCCAGACAATGGAATATTTTTCAGCACTAAAAATAAGTGAGCTGTCAAGCCATGAAAACACATGGAGGAAGTTTAGATGCATATTACCAAGTAAAAGAAGACAATCAGGAAAGGCTACATGCTGCGTGATTCCAACTATATGACACATTTTAGAAAAGGCAAATCTTTGGAGACAGTATAAAGATTAATGGTTACCAGGGTTTAAGGAAAAGGGTGTTATGAATAAGCAGACACAGCCTTGGCCGGTTTTGCTCAGGGGTTAGAGCGTTGGCTTGTGGACTGAAGAGTTCTGGGTTCGATTCTGGCCAAGGGCACCTACCTTGGTTGCAGGCTCGATCCCCTGCCCCTGTCAGAGTATGTGTAGGAGGCAACCAATCAATGTGTGTCTCTCACTTTGATGTCTCTCTCTCTCTGTCTCTCTCACTCCCTCCCCCTCCCCCTCTTTCCCTCTCCCCCT